AACTCTAATACAACACTTTACTAGCGGTTGACCAGAGGGAAATGATGCTTCCTCATACTGATGTCAGATCTTAATATCCTTAACTTTTTGATTTGTTTCTAATCTGATGATTGAAAAAGAACATGGCATTGTTATTTTCATTCACACTAACTTGATATTATTTTATATGGAATATTTATTTTCACATGTTATTGACCTTTTATATTTCCTGTTCTTCATTGTCAGCTCATAATTTTGTCTTTTTATTGTGTTATTATTAATGTATTTGCATGTGCTCTAATACACTTGGGTATCATTTCTTTATGTTGTGTTATATATTTTGCTGTTCCTTCTTAAACTATTAGAAGTTTCTTCAGAAAGATTGAGTGCATTTTTGGGCTTCCCAAGTGGTTCTGTGGTAAAGAATCTGCCTGCCAGTGCAGCAGATGGGCTTTGATCCCTGGATCAGGAAGATCCCCTAGCAAAGGAAGTGACAACCCACTCCAGTTTTCTTGCCTGGGAAATCCCATGGACAGAGGAGTCTGGCAGGCTGCAGCCCATGGGGTTGCAAAAGAGTTGGACACAACTTAGCAGCTAAACAACAACTATTAAACAACAACGTATTAAAGATATTATTATTTTTGTTACCTTTCCTAGTTGGTACTGATGTTTTAAAGGAAACTGTAACCTTTGAATATTAAACCAATTCAGGTCACCTTGCTGAACTAACTCCTTTAACCATATTTAACCAATTGATTCTTTAAGATCATCATGCACAAATTATGGTAGCATTGTTACTTTTAAAAAAATTTTTATTTGCTCTTTAACTTCAATGTCTAGGACTTTGTTACATATTCTGCTGTACTGAATATATACTAGAAGAATGTCATGTAGTAGGTGATTAATAAATATTTACTATATGCATGATGAGAGTCTTCCTGAAAGGCTCAGCAGTAAAAAATTCGCCTGCCAATGCAGGAGATGCAGTTTCGATCCCTGGTCCAGGAAGATCCCTTGAAGAAGGGAAAGGCAACCCACTCCAGTGTTCTTGATTGGAAAAACCCCATGAACAGAAGAGCCTGATGGGCTACAGTCCACAGGTTGCAAAGAGTCAGACACAACTTAGTAGCTGAAAAACAACCACAAATATTCATGAAGAAAGAATGCTATCGTTGAATAGTTTTATGGTTAAGTATGATGTGATGAAGATTTCTCAGAACTGTAAAGAAAGGTTTCTATTAAATCTAGTATCCTGAACCTTTTTCCTTTCTTCAAATCATATGCTGTCTTAATAAATGATTTTCATTGTCCATTGAGATAAGATGGCTTTTATATCTTTTACTATTAATATAGTAATAATTTGGACAGATTTTCAATATTGATCAATTCTTGCATTATTTAAATAAACCCTGTCTGGTTATGATATATAATCTTTTGATACATTGCTGACATCTCTTTATTAAATTTTATTTAGGACTTTTGCTTTTATAGTCATTAGTGATATTAGCCTATAATTTTATTTTACATTACTATCTATGTTCACTTTTGACATCAGATTATAGTGACACTGTAAAATGAGTATTGACTTCCAATTCTGGCAATATGGCAGACTATATATAATCTAAAATTCCACCCATTAAGGAAGAACATTAAAAATAAAGGTTACAAGATAATGGGCCTCCCTTAAACGTATAAACTTCCAATTATGTAAAAAAGGGGACAAAATAAAGGACAAAAACCAAAATGAGGCAAAATATCAATTGAATGGCCAAGTAGAGAGAAGAGAATAAAATACTGGGAATTTAAATAAGAGTAACTGACATTCAGGCGCCAGAAAATTTAGATTTCTCAAAGAATAGCTAAAAATAAATTCACCTGTAGTTACAATGAGTCAACAGTGAAGTTCTGTCTCTATCAAAGGAGGTTCAAAGAGGGAAGAAAAGTCAGTTTTGAAGGTTTATTAGCATCAGTTCAGTTGTTCAGTTGCGTCTGACTCTTTGAGACCCCATGGAGTGCAGCACGCCAGGCTTCCTGTCCATCACCAACTCCCAGAGCTTGCTTAAACACACGTCCATTGAGTCGGTGATGCCATCCAACCATTTCATCCTGTGTTGTCCCCTTCTCCTCCTGCCCTCAATCTTTGCCAGATTAAGGCCTTTTCTAATGAGTTATTTGTTTGCATCAGATGGCCGAAGTACTGGAGTTTCAGCTTCAGCACCAGTCCTTTCAATGAGTATTCAGGACTGATTTCCTTTAGGATGGACTGATTGGATCTCCTTGCTGTCCAAGGGACTCTCAAGAGTCTTCTCCAACACCACAGTTCAAAAGCATAAATTCTTCAGCACTCAGCTTTCTTTATGGTCCAACTCTCACGTCCATACATGACTACTGGAAAAACCATAGCCTTGACTAGTTGATTTCCTTTAGGATGGACTGATTGGATCTCCTTGCTGTCCAAGGGACTCTCAAGAGTCTTCTCCAACACCACAGTTCAAAAGCATCAATTCTTCAGCTCTCAGCTTACTTTAGAGTTCAACTCTCACATCCATACATGACTACTGGAAAAACCATAGCCTTGACTAGATGGACCTTTGTTGGCAAAGTAATGTCTCTGATTTTTAATATGCTGCCTATGTTGGTCACGGCTTTTCTTCCAAGGAGCAAGTGTCTTTTAATTCCATGGCTGCAGTCACCTTCTCCAGTGAATTTGGAGCCCCCAAAAATAAATCTCTGTCTGTTTCCCTTGTTTCCCCATGTATTTGCCTTGAAGTGATGGGATCAGATGCCATGATCTTAGTTTTCTTAATGTTGAGCTTTAAGCCAACTTTTTCACTCTCTTTTTTCACTTTCATCAAGAGGCTCTTTAGTTCTTCTTTGCTTTATTCCAAAAGGGTGGTGTCATCTATATAGCTGAGGTTATTGGTAATTCTCCCAGAAATCTTGATTCCAGCTTGTGCTTCATCCAGTCCAGTATCTCGCATGATGTATTCTGCATATAAGTTAAATAAGCAGGGTGACAGTATACAGCCTTGACGTATTTATTTCCTGATTTGGAACCAGCCTGTTGTTCCATGTCCAATTCTAACTGCTGCTTCTTGACCTGCATACATATTTCTCAGGAGGCAGGTAAGGTGGTCTAGTATTCCCATCTCTTCAGGAATTTTCCACAGTTTATTGTGATCCACACAGTCAAAAGCTTTGGTGTAGTCAATAAAGCAGAAGTAGATATGCCATATAATGAATATCTTAAAATTGATCTTCCTAAGTTTATGGTGAAAAATTGTAATACTGGAGTGGGTATCCTATCCTTTCTCCAGTGGATCTTCCCGACCCAGGAATCCAATGAAGGTCTCCCGCATTGCAGGTGGAATCTTTACCAGCTGAGCTATCAGTGAAGCCCAAAAGCAATCAATAACTTTATTAACATCTATCTTATTAGCAATTGGACAAAGCCATTAGTTTGTTAAGTAACTTGTCAAATTTCCAAATGATCAGAGTTGACGATCTTAGCAAATCTTTTGATGTTTAAAAAGCATTTGTTGCTATTTATTTCTCATTTTCATGTAACAATTTTGCCAGAGGCCATTGATAAATATTTTACATAGTTTTTAAATTGACCCCTGGGTTAGGATGATAGCCTGGAACAGAAAATGGCAACTGCTCCAGTGTTCTTGCCTAGAAATTTCCAACAAATTGTGGAAAATTCCTAAAGAGATGGGAATACCAGATCACCTGACCTGCCTCCTGAGAAATCTGTATGCAGATCAAGAAGCAACAGTTAGAACCAGACATGGAACAACAGACTGGTTCCAAATTGGGAAAGGAGTACGTCAAGACTATATGCTGTCACCCTGCTTATTTAACTTATAGGCAGTGTCCATCATGCAAAATGCCAGACTGGATGAAGCACTAGCTGGAATCAAGATTGCTGGGAGAATGATCAATAACCTCAGATATGCAGATGACACCACCCTTATGGCAGAAAGCAAAGAGGAACTGAAGAGCCTCTTGATGAAAGTGAAAGAGGAGAGTGAAAAAGCTGGCTTAAAACTCAACATTTAGAAAAGTGAGATCATGGCATCCAGTCCCATCACTTCATGGCAAATAGATGGGGAAGCAGTGGAGACAGTGACAGACTGTTTTCTTGGGATCCGAAACCACTGCAGATGGTCACTGCATCCGTGACGTTCAGTCAACTGAACTGACCTGACTGAAATTTATGGTGAATATAAGGCAGAATTTTTCTGGAGGGATTGCTTTTATCTGGGGCATGAAATCTTTTCAATGAATCCCACCAAAGAGGAGTTCACAATCCAAAACTAAAATATGCACAAAATAATAATTCACTATGAGTTAAAAGAAACATGAAAAACAGCTAGACTTAATCACCTAAAGATTTACATAATAGAAAATCTAAGATGTAGAGATTCTAAGTCTACTGGTATATTTTAATTGATTAAAAACATTAAAAGTAAATGGAAAACACAAGAAAAGAATAAGATGCTATATTCATCAGCTCAGGTTGCCTGATAGCTCACCAAGAAAAAGATCACGCTATCCACAAGAAAATGAGAACTCAGTTTATTCCCAACTTCTTATCAGAAGCATTACAATGCCAGAAAACATGGATGGGATACCTTCAAAATTGCTGATTATTACAGTAACTTAAAACCTGAAATTTTACACCCAGTTAAAAAAGTATCATTTTGGAGTGACTGTAAAATAAAGATACTTTTTGACATAAAATGATCCAGAAAGACACAAACCTTTCCTGAATTTTCTTCAGCAAGAAAAATTAGCCAGAAAGAAATGATGGAATATAAGAAGCCATGATGAGCTTGGAAATCAGTAGATATTGGTGATTTTAAATAACCGCTGTCCATAAAAATTATAATATGGTGTACACATTTATATATATATATTTTTTTAATTTGACTGATCTGTGTCTTAGTTGAAGCACGCAGGATCTTCCATCTTTAGTTGCAGCATATGAACTCTGAATTGTGACTTGTGGGTTCTAATTCCCTGAGCAGGGATCGAACCTAAGACCCCTGCAATGAGAGTGCAGAGTTTTAGCCACTAGACCACCAGGGAATTCCCTGATTTACACAATTTTTAACAAGTTTGAACTAAAATGACATGTCACGATAACATGAGGAATGAAAATATGAAGGTGATTGGAATGGAATACAAATAAAATACAAATGCATAAAATCTCTTCTTTTATCAGGACAAAATGAAGATGTCTGTAACATTCAAGTATTTTCCTTATGAAGGGAATGTATTCCTATATTATCTGATACATTTTTATTTTTATGATGGTAGAAAAGACTAGGAAAAAATATACCTTAGTGTTCATAGAACATAACTGTGTACTGTCATCTTGGTACTTTTTTATGTTTTTCCAATCTGTCCCCCAAATAACTAAATTATTTATACAAATGACTGTATAATGCATAATTCAAAGCATTTTTATAAAGAATAAGACAAAAGTTTAGAAGAAAATAAATGGAAGGTAAAAGTGTTTCTTTTGAGTGGTAGAATTATTCGTGTTTAATCGTCTTCTTTCCACTTTTCTTAATTTCTGCAATTCAACTATCGTAAACAAAAGAAGCAATATTTAAGATATCCAGGCATCATGCAGCTAATCCCAAAGAATCTATACTTCAGAATCTGACCCAGTACATGATAATCTCTATGTCCTCATCCCTTCACTTTAGTAGAACTCTTTACAAAACTGTGAAGTTATTTTTGCAATTTTTTTTTAGTTTCCCAAAATGAATTTCATTCATTTTTATTTTTTTAATGTTTTATTTTTCAAGAGATTTTTTAATTCAGTTTGCCTGTGTTCATATTTATAGTATAAATTTATCTTTGTCTCCAAAGAGTTTACAATATATAGGGAATGCCAACAATTAGTTCCAAAGTTTAAGAAAATGAAAAATAAAGACATTATATCATTTTTAAAAATTATCTTTATTGAATATATTTAACATACAACATTGCATACATTTAAGGTGTATCTGTTGGTACATTTATACATTGCAATATTATAATGCAATTGTTGTTATAGTAATATTTTTCACATTATATAAGTATAGGACTACATTGTTATCTATTATATTATGCATTATATCACTATAGTTTATTACTACACATTGCAAGTTTATACCAATAAGCAACATCAGTTATATCTTCCTATTTCCCTAGTCCCTGGTAGCTACAATTTTACTGTCTGATTTTTACCAATTAGGCCTTTAATATTTTACATATTAGCTATATCATATAATAATTGTCTTTCTCTGATGGATTCCATGTTGTCACAAATGATATGCTATCCTCCTTCCTCATGGCTAAGGAATATTCCATTGTCAACCTGAACCACATCATTTTCTTTACCCATTCATTTATTGATGGATCCATGGGCATTTAGGCTATTTTCACATCTTGTTCATTGTGAATAATGCAGCAATAGTGGATATTCTCTCTAATAAGTGGTGTTGGATAGACTGAAGAAGCACATGCAGAACAACGAAACTAGACCCCTATCTCACACCACTCATGAAAACTAACTTGAAATGTATCAGAGACAAATATAAGACCTGATACAATGAAACTAGAAGAAAAAATAGGTGGCTCAGATGGTGAAGAATCTGCTCGCAATGAACATTGGCATACATGTGTGCTTTTCAATTCTGGCTTCCTCAGGGTATAGTGGGATTTCTGGGTCATATGGTAGATTTATTCTTTGCTTTTTAAGGAATCTCCATAGTGTTCTCCATAGCGGTTTGACATGGGAGCAACCTAGATGTCCATTGACAGATGAACGGATAAGGACGTGTGGTACACATATGTAATGGAATATCACTCAGCTATAAAAAGGGATGCATTTGAGTCAGTTCTGATAAGGCAGATGAACCTAGAGCCTACTATACAGAGTGAAGTAAGTCAGAAATAGAAAGACAAATACTGTATATTAATGCATATTTGGAATCTAGAAGGATGGCACCAAAAATCCTATGTCAGTTCTGTTCAGTTGCTCAGTTGTATCCAACTATTTGCGACCCCAAGGACTGCACCACGTCAGGCTTCCCTCTCTATCACCAACTCCTGGAGCTTACTCAAACTCATGTCCATTGAGTCGGTGATGCCATCCAACCATCTCATCCTCTGTCGTCCCCTTCTTCTCCTGCCTTCAATCTTTCCCAGCATCAGGGTCTTTTCTAATGAGTCAGTTCTTCAAACAGGATGCCAAAGTATGTGCAGGGCAGCAAAGAAGAAACCGATGTAAAGAACAGACTCTTGGACTAAATGGGAGAAGAGGGTGGGATGACTTGAGAGAACAGCATTGAAACACAAATTTTACCATCTGTAAAAGAGATAACCAGTGAGTTTGATGTGTGAGGCAGGGTACCCAAAGCTGGTGCTCTGAGACAGCCTGAAGGATAGGGTGAGGAGGGAGGGGGGTGGCTCAGGGTGGAAGGTACATGTATATGACTATGGCCAATTCATACTGATGCATAGCAAAAACCATCACTATATTGTAAAGCAATTATGCTCCAATTAAAATTAAAAAAAAAAGAGTCTGCCTGCAATGGAAGACACCCAGATTCAATCCCTGGGTCAGACAGATCCCCTGGAGAAGGAAATGGCAACCCACTTCAGTATTCTTGCCTGGAGAATTCCATGGGAGAGAAGCCTGGTGGGCTACAGTCCATGGGGTCACAAAGAGCCAGACACGACTGAGTGACTAACACTCACTTTTCACCATGAAACTAGAAAAAAACATAGGAAAGACGCTCCTCAATATTGGTCTTGGCAATGACTTTTCTGGACATGATACCAAAACACAAACCACAAAAGCAAAACTCCAAAGCTTCTGCACAGCAAAAGAAACAACTAACAAAATGAAATGACAACCTGCAGAATTAGAAATTGATACCATATATCAGGGGGCTTCCCTGAGACCTCAGTTGGTAAAGAATCCCCCCGCAATGCAGGAGACCCTAGTTTGATTCCTGGGTTGGCAAGATTTGCTGGAAAAGAGATAAAGCTACCATCTGGCCTCGGGTACCAGTCCCTTGGACTGCAAGGAGATCCAATCAGTCCATCCTAAAGGAAATCAGTCCTGAATATTCATTGGAAGGACTGATAAGTGAAGTTGCTCAGTGGTGTTCGACTCTTGGCGATCCCATGGACTGTAGTCTACCAGGCTCCTCCATCCATGGGATTTTCCAGGCAAGAATACTGAAGTGAGTTGCCATTTCCTTCTCCAGGAGATCTTCCCAACCCAGGGATTGAACCCAGGTCTCCCGCATTGTAGTCAGGCACTTTACCATCTGATCCACCAGGGGAGGACTGATGCTGAAGCTAAAACTCCAATCCTTTGGCCACCTGATGCGAAGAGCTGACTCATTGGAAAAGACTCTGATGCTGGGAAAAAATTAAAGGCAGGAGGAGAAAGGGATGACAGAGGATGAGATGATTGGATGGCATCACCAACTCGATCGACATGAGTTTGAGTAAGCTCCAGGAGTTGATGATAGACAGGGAAGCCTGGCGTGCTGCAGTTCATGGGGTCACAAAGAGTCGGACATGACTGAGTGACTGAACTGAACTGAACCATATATTAGATAAAGGGTTACTATTCAAAGTACATAAAGAACTCATACAACTTAATAAAAGGTGGACAGAAGGACTATATAGACATTTTCCCAAAGAGGACAACAAAATGACCAATAGGCACATGAAATGATGCTCAGCATCACTGATTATCAGGAGAATGCAAACCAAAGCCAGAATTGCGTATCACCTCACATCCCTTAGAATGGCTATCATGGCTATCAAGACCAGGTAAAGAGGTGTTGGTGAGGATGCTGTGGGAAAAAAAGAACACTTACACACTGTTGGTGGGAAGGTAATTTGGTCCAACCACTACTGAAAATAATATGGAGTTTCCTCAAATATTGAGAACAGATCTACCATGTGATCCAGCTGGGCACATACCCAAAGAAAATGAAAACCTTATTTCAAAGACACTGTATCATTTTATAAAGAAATTAGCTTCTCTGATTGCATCATAAATGACATTTCTCACTGTTTAAGAAGTACATTCAAGCTCATAAAAGCTCTTTCTTCTCTATATGTGACCAATTCTTATTTCCAGAATCCTGGTTGCTCTCCAGAGAACTATAAGAGAATTTCTGGACCCATTGCTTCTAGACTTTAAACAAACTATAAAAAACTAATTGTTTGAAAGAGCCTGCACTTTTCAAACCAACAGACTGAGATTTTCTTTCTGGTTCCACCACTTAACAGAAAGACCTAATAGTAAGACAGGCATGATAACACCTGCTATTTGTTTTTCTGTCGGGATGCTGTCTCAGATTCTCTCACATGGGGTGCTCTCAACAAATGGTCATCATCACTTGTGATATTTAGTCCAATAACTGGCAAAAAAAATTAAAAATAAATGATATTTACACTTTGTAGAGTCAAAACAGAAGGTTGAATGACTGAGTTTTTCATCTTTCAAACCAAACATTGGACTCTTGTAAGTAGCCTAAGAGACCCAAAAATCCTTTGTAAGTTAAGCAGGATAAGACAGTGGTAAAATTGGTCTTTGAACTTGGGTAATATAGATTTCATTTAAATTTTAAGTTCTACAAGTTTCTGGGCATGCCTTAGAAAAAGATTAGCTTTACATTTTAGTTACAGTTATTTTCACCTGGAAAATGGATGCAATCAAACTGATGTTGCACAATTTGGGTCTAGGGATTGGCAGAAATGGAGGGCTGCTGTCCATCATTATCAGGAAATAGTAGATAACACTTTTTGCTTACTTAAAATGGCCCAAGTATCATATTAAATATGTCTCCTGACTCAAAGAACATGAATTTGAGCAAACTCCAGGAGATAGCAGAGGACAGAGGAGCCTGGTGCGCTACAGTCCATGGAGTCGCCAAGAGTTAGACACGACTTAGCAACTGAATGAAAAATTAACCATCACACAGCTCTTCGGAAGAGATGTTATTTCCATCCTTGCTTAATAAATGGGGAAACCCAGCACAGAAAGTCTGGGGAACTTCTGCACA